TATCGCAGTGTTGTATCGCAGTGTTGTATCGCACTGTTGTATCGCACTGTTGTATCGCACTGTTGTATCGCAGTGTTGTATTGCAGTGTTGTATCGCACTGTTGTATCGCACTGTTGTATCGCACTGTTGTATCGCAGTGTTGTATCGCAGTGTTGTATCGCAGTGTTGTATCGCAGGTTTGGATCGCAGTGTTGTATCGCAGTGTTGTATCGCACTGTTGTATCGCAGTGTTGTATCGCAGTGTTGTATCGCACTGTTGTATCGCACTGTTGTATCGCACTGTTGTATCGCAGTGTTGTATCGCACTGTTGTATCGCACTGTTGTATCGCAGTGTTGTATCGCAGTGTTGTATCGCAGTGTTGTATCGCACTGTTGTATCGCACTGTTGTATCGCACTGTTGTATCGCAGTGTTGTATCGCAGTGTTGTATCGCACTGTTGTATCGCACTGTTGTATCGCACTGTTGTATCGCAGTGTTGTATCGCAGTGTTGTATCGCACTGTTGTATCGCTGTGTTGTATCCAGTAGCGTTGGCCCACCCCGGGCCTGGGGGCACTCACTATCTTGTGTCTGTCGGGAAGTAGTCTCAATGATGCAAAAGTGCCAATACTGGCAGGATACTGGTTATCTGTTGCACAGAAGTGACAACATTCTGTATGTGAGGTAAAAAGGGCTTTAGCGTCGCGTCCAAGATTTTTGCATTTTTATAGCGACGTGCATGCGTGTGTGTGTGTGTCTGCTTGTACTTGGCCGATTTATAGTGCTTGCTCACTGAGATACCATGCCGCAGTTTAACATGAATATCCCAGTCAGACACAGTATACTGACTCCGAGCTGACCAGCCCTTCTTTAAGCCCCTGAATGCCGAGCGCCAGACAGGGTAACAACAAGTACCATCTTTTAACGTCTTTTGGTATGACGCGGCCGGGGATCGAGCCGCGGACCTTCCGCTGGGCTGACGCTCTACCACTAGACCATCGAGGCGGTTCATTCTGTAGAACACTGTTGTATAAGTTTGCCAGTATTATGTAGACTACTGATAATCACTTGCCTAAATGTGCCAACATTCTGTGGACTACTGATAATCACTTGCGTAAATGAGCCAACATTCTGTGGACTACTGATAATCATTTGCGTAAATGTGCCAACATTCTGTAGACTACTGATAATCACTTGCGTAAATGTGCCAACATTCTGTAGACTACTGATAATCACTTGCGTAAATGTGCCAACATTCTGTAGACTACTGATAATCACTTACGTAAATGTGCCAACATTCTGTAGACTACTGATAATCACTTACGTAAATGTGCCAACATTTTGTAGACTACTGATAATCACTTACGTAAATGTGCCAACATTCTGTAGACTACTGATAATCACTTGCGTAAATGTGCCAACATTTTGTAGACTACTGATAATCACTTACGTAAATGTGCCAACATTCTGTAGACTACTGATAATCACTTACGAAAATGTGCCAACATTCTGTAGACTACTGATAATCACTTGCGTAAATGTGCCAACATTTTGTAGACTACTGATAATCACTTGCGTAAATGTGCCAACATTCTGTAGACTACTGATAATCACTTGCGTAAATGTGCCAACATTCTGTAGACTACTGATAATCACTTACGTAAATGTGCCAACATTCTGTAGACTACTGATAATCACTTGCGTAAATGTGCCAACATTTTGTAGACTACTGATAATCACTTGCGTAAATGTGCCAACATTCTGTAGACTACTGATAATAACTTGCCTAAATGTGCCAACATTCTGTAGACTACTGATAATCACTTACGTAAATGTGCCAACATTCTGTAGACTACTGATAATCACTTGCGTAAATGTGCCAACATTTTGTAGACTACTGATAATCACTTGCGTAAATGTGCCAACATTCTGTAGACTACTGATAATCACTTGCGTAAATGTGCCAACATTCTGTAGACTACTGATAATCACTTACGTAAATGTGCCAACATTCTGTAGACTACTGATAATCACTTACGTAAATGTGCCAACATTTTGTAGACTACTGATAATCACTTACGTAAATGTGCCAACATTCTGTAGACTACTGATAATCACTTACGTAAATGTGCCAACATTTTGTAGACTACTGATAATCACTTACGTAAATGTGCCAACATTCTGTAGACTACTGATAATCACTTACGAAAATGTGCCAACATTCTGTAGACTACTGATAATCACTTACGTAAATGTGCCAACATTCTGTAGACTACTGATAATCACTTGCGTAAATGTGCCAACATTCTGTAGACTACTGATAATCACTTGCGTAAATGTGCCAACATTTTGTAGACTACTGATAATCACTTGCGTAAATGTGCCAACATTCTGTAGACTACTGATAATCACTTGCGTAAATGTGCCAACATTCTGTAGGATACTAGTTATCACTGTTGATAAGCTCGCTGTGAAGCAAACAAACAAACAAACTATAGTTTCAGACGCCCGGGTGATGTCGGAACGAGAGATGGAGGCAGAGAAGGCTTGTATTAACCGTTGACTGTTTCAGAGAACAAAATACCCCAAGCTGACAATGACCAAGCGATGGAACCACTGCACCCCGAGTGCGTGGAGGGTGCTTGACGTGAACTTGATCCGGGGATCTCACACTTAATGTTCCCCCTCCATGTTTTAGCGGTATCAAATGCATGTCGTGCACAGTGTAATAGTGGTAATTACTCCCCGACACCTACACATCGACGACATAGTGACCCGGTGTTAGGTATCACATTCTCCCACCGACAAATGTACCGGAACACATTCTTGTACTTGCTGCAGGCGGCGAGGTGAGCTTTGTCAGACTCACCCACCGGCAGATGGCCCGGGGTCTCCTGGAGACGACAACAAAGCCGGTTTTATATGTCCGTTTCAGCCACAGACAACCGTCACCGAATTCACTAGAGGAGCAGGTGTGATGTGACACCGGCAAACGTGACAACGTTGCCGCTAGCTGTGGCGTTGACATGAAATACGGTTGGTTATTGATACCTGCCGCCCCGGATGACATTTACCTGTGTTTTGTGAGTTATGAATACACACTTCATCCCTAACTCTACCGATATCTCGGCCAACAGACTTTCAGGGCCATGTGGACGCTCGGTGTCAGCGTGACAACCTCGAACAGCACTGAACACAGGTAGGTGGGAGACTTGACGTGACTGTCACAGTCTATAGCATTTGTTGTAGCATTTGTGACACGGTGCGTCACGAACATAGTGGTGCCAGAATGAATTTGGAATCGTGAAATGCACTGTATGTCCTTTTAGTTATTCGTTCCGTGTTCCAAAATGCTGAATCCATTCTTTCTTTCTAAGTCTGAGTACCAGGGTGCCGTTGTACAAAGCGATCTTAGCGCTAAGGGGGTCGTAACTACCACGCCTTAACACAGACTTACCATAGTCTTAGCGCTAAGGTTGTTTTGTACAACGGCACCCTGGACCTCTTCTACCAAGTATTAAAGATGTAGATGTGTTTTACAAGAATTATGTAGACGTAAGCAAACTGTCATCACCGGTCTACACACGCAACAGCAGCATACACTGTTACAATTTAACTGCTTTTCTCGAACATATTCACTTCCTTCTACAGCATAATTAAACCGCCATAACTCCGCCCTGTAATACAGCGTTATGTAAATTAATGCAGCGACATCACGCTCTCAACTTCCCAACTTCCATCCGCTACAGAGGGGATACGTGGATTTATTACACACCAGGCTGTCATATAGCCAGCGAACGTTCATGACACACGTCACACGATATAGCGGGTGATCTTTACTTTGTTGTCAGAAACATGATGACGTCACACGATATAGCGGATGATCTTTACTCTGTTGTCAGAAACATGATGACCTCACACGACATAGCGAGGAGGTCTTTACTCTGTTGTCAGAAACACACGATGACGTCACACGATATAGCGGGGATGTCTGTACTCTGTTGTCAGAAACACGATGACGTCACACGATATAGCGGGGATATCTTTACTCAGTTGTCAGAAGCACACGATGACGTCACACGATATAGCGGGGATATGTCTACTCTGATGTCAGAAAGACACGATGACGTTACACGATATAGCGGGGATACCTCTACTCTGTCATATAACATGGCGGGGAATCTCTTCTTTGTTAGGTCTTTGAAAGGCATTTCGAAGTGATACACATGAGGAAGAGAATATGTGGATGTCAACTTCTTTATTATGAGGAACACAACCTTTCGAGGTAAATGCTTACTCCTTCGTCAGGTGAATGAATGCCATAAGGCAGAGAGCATATATATGTACATGCTAGGACAACATAATTAATAAGATAAAAAAGGTGGAGAATAACAAAGGGTAGAAACTAACAAATGCAGCCAACAGATGATTGACGCTGATAGGTGATTAGCAATAGACAATGGAAGCCAACCCTTTACAGTAATAAGCGCTGAAAGTATGGAAGACAGTACTAAAGTTATCAAAGATAAGTAATAGGCAATGGGCAATGGCAAACGGGAGGTCGGGGGTTTGGGTAAACGATAGGTCAACGAATCAAAATAACAATGGGCACACGGAAGCCAGCTAGATAATAGGCACCGACACAGATCAATGCAGTAAGTCCCCAGCACTGAGCAGATAGGTGCCCTGGTCACGGTTCATGGCTGGCTGGTGTCTCCTGATGTCAATGGCTTCTTGTAGTTTCCTTTGCCACCAGTTGTTGTTGTTGGTAGACAGGCCTTTGGTGGCTTCCAACATGATGTTACGGTCTTGGTTCTTGGGGATGTTTCGGAAATAGCGGATTTCAGGTCGAGTTTGTTAACAGAGGTCCGAGTCTGAGGGTTTCCCCAATGTTCTGGTGGCCACAGTTGCTGGGGATCTGGTATATACATCCCCGGGCATTGGGACTTATACTGCTTGTACTTCTGTCATTGGCTTGTAGATGGGTCTTGATGGACTTGCCCCTAGAGAAAGTGACATCTATTTTGGCTTTGTTCTTGATGAGGCGGGAAATCTGATGGGTGACAGGGCCTTGGTAGGGTATGGGGATTCTGATGGCGATGGAGCTGGTTTGAGTCTGTTATCAGAGTTCTTGAGGGTCCTGCGGATGGTTTTGGATTCAGGATGGAGGTAGGCAGGATAGCTGTTGAGGGAAGTGAAGGTTTCCTTGAGATGGTCCATTTCACTGCTGAGGACATCAGGGTGGCAAATGGATTTGGCACGTCGGGTGAGGGTGGCGATGATGGCTTGTTTTATCTGGAGATGGTGGCAGGAGTGGTAGTGGATGTACTGGTCTGTGTGTGTGGGGGGGCTTGATGTACACTGATGTTCTTTGTCCATCATCTGTGGTTTGGAGGGACACGTATACGAAAGGAAGGTGTTGATTGGTTTCGGTCTCCACGGTGAACTGGATTCTATGGTGCTGGGCGTTGCGATGTTTGAGGAGCTCTGTAGGGTCGTTCGGGTGGGCTATGGTGGTGAATGTGTCGTCTACTTTTCGGTACCAGCAGAGGGGTTGGAATGGTGCTGTGGAGAGGGCTGATACTTCGAAGGATGTCATTAAGATTTCAGTGATGAGCGGACATAGAGGGTAGCCCATAGGTTGTTCGCGGATTTGCTTGTAGATCTTGTTGTTGACAGTGAAGTATGATGTATCAAAGCAGCTGGAGGCTAGGTTGATGATGCTGTCTATTGTCGTTGTCTAGGTGTCTTGGTCGTTGATTCTATTAAGTAGCTTGTTGCGGAGGATGTCAATCGCTTCTTGTAGATGGATGTTGGTGAAGAGGTCGATAACGTCATACCTAACCATCAGTTGTCTCTCTGTTCTGGTGGAGGTGTTTTAGGGTCTTTTCATGTTGGCGTTCTAGTTTTGCAGTGTGGTCCTTCTTGATGGTGAACTAGGTGGTCGTGTCAGAGAGGGTGTTGTTGACGACCTTCAGGAAGTCTGGGGTGTTCATGACGACAGCTGTTTGCTTTTGTCAACTTCCGCTATGGTGATGGTCTTATCCTTGCCGAGTTCAATGATGGCATGTCTCTCTTGGGTGGTGAGGTTTAGGCGTGGCTTGGGTTTTTTCGTGATAGTGTCTATATTCTGATGGCGAAGGTAGTCAATGTTGCCGTTTTGGGCCAGTTGTTGGAGTCCACTCTCGATGCTGGTGATGAAGGCGTCTGTGTTGATCTTGGCGCTGACTGGGACATACTTCAGGGCTTGGGCGAGGAGGGAGGCCTGTGCAGATGTGAGGGTCTTGCTGCTCAAACTAACTACAGTCTTGTTGGTGGTTCTGGGGCTGGCTTCTGCGACATGGTGTTGGAGTGGGCGTTGTAGTTGAGTGAGCTTGTTGATGTGAGATGTCTTGATTTTCCCGTTGAGCTGGTGTCGGCTGGTCTGGGCTAGGACTGGGTCGTGTGGTACAGGTCAGGTTTGAGGACATCTTCTAGGTGAGATCTTCCTGTCTCAGCCTGCGTGTGGAGGTGGGCCTTTGTTGACACAAACACCCTGTGACATCATACGATATGGTGGGGACATCCCTCTGTTGTTCCAAACACCATATTATTACCCAAGTGGTGAACATACAGGTGGTAAGATACTAAATCCGTACGTCACACGTGTGTCGTACAAGGTTGACCTTGTTTTATTCGTTTTGATTGGATAACCGTGACCTCTGTCACACCGGAACTATTTTTTTCATTCATTAAAAAATCACGAGACGTCATTCGCTTTTACAACTACAAGGCAGAACTGAAGGAATCTCATAAATGCGAGAGACATTTGCACACACTTTATTAAACCAAACAAGATAGTTACATACATCAAATTCACTTCTATATTAGTACTTCATAGAGCTTCTACAGACCTTATATAATTGAGCTATACCCATATGCAATGTACGACTACCGATGGATCGAGGGTCCCTATGAGAATACCGACCACTTTCGTGACGTTCAGATTTAACATAAAAGGATAAGCGTGGTGAAATGAAGTCAGTTTAAACTATCTGGACAGATATCTAGACTAACGATAGATGCCCCGGTTGTGCCATCAGTGTCCCCATTCGAAGAGGATTTTGTGACATTGCTTCCGAAGGTGTTTGTTAATGAATGAGCATACACACCTGCACGACCAGATCACTTAAAGTGAACAGTTCCGATACAACTCATTCGAAAACTCCGTCGAAGTGTGCCTGACTTTTGTTTTGTGGCCCAAACATCCTAAACGTGAAAATAACATTCTCTATTGATCTCCAGCGTAAAACGCTGCGAGTAGATCACGGTTGTCGATTTTTATTCCGATGGTGACCTTGACCTTCGTTCGTAGCTGTCGCTGGCATGCAAGCAGACCTGAGTTTGTTGATTTTCACGTCTTCAGTACAGGGTGGTACAGTAAACATAAACGTCTTGGTGAGCACTCTGATTTCCCTCTTCTAATATGACATGATATTAATTCCGCTGATAGATCAAGGAAACCGAACCATTTTGATGCACATCCGGGAACCCGTCGGTGCGAAGGACCGAGAATCATAGCGCTTCGCTGATTAACTTTTTAAGTTTTTCTACTCTTGTCATGCGTACTAACGACAATGCGCTTGACTTACCATAAGTTGAATCAATGTTCAGGAACGAAAGTTGTTATGTATTAACACTTAAAAAGATATGTTACTTGGGTAATAAATAAAATACGTAAGCTACCATTTTTACGAAACTCGTGAACTTTCTATGGTGTCTGACCTCGCTTTCGCTCGGTCAGATACCATAGAAAGTCGAATCGTTTCCTTACAAATATACTCAACAACAAAAGTTCCCGTGACACCAATATTTTAGTGTATTTTTAAAACAAGTAAAGTTTGGTTTTCAATATTGTAGTACGTGTATGGAATCAAGTCACAAAAACGCAACTGCCACAGAAAAGCATGCATTCCATGCAAAAGTTGAATTTTATGCAAGCCCCATGCATTTCACTACCCATGGGTATAAAAACATGTGCGTTTTAAACGGGATTCTATATGCATTGTTTAGCAACGTTCTGACAACAACCACTCAGAAAAACAACAAATTACGCAATTATTCAACATTACGAAATGCCAGGCCTGTCCGAAAATAAACGACTGCGAGCCATTGGTATGCTTGAAGCAGGATCGAGTCAACGTGATGTTGCAAGACAATTTAACGTCCACAGAAACACCATTTGGTGTTTATGGCAACGTTGGCAACAGACGAATGCAGTCAGAGATCATCCTCGGAGTTGCAGGCCACGCGTAACCAATAATCGACAAGACAACTGGATTCGAACAACACACCTACGGCAGCGTTATGGTATGGGGTGGGATTACAGCAAGAAAGAGAACCCGTTTGATAGAGGGAAATCTCAATGGACAGCGCTACCGCGACGAGATCATCGGCCCTGTTGGTCTACCTTTTTGCGTCGTCATGGCCCAGGCATTACCATTCAACACGACAACGCCCGGCCTCATTTTGCTCGATTTGTTCAGGATTCTCTTCAACAAAACAACGTGAATGCCATCCCCTGGCCGGCTCGCTCCCCTGATCTCTCACCAATCGAGCACATGTGGGATGAGATAGATCGGCGCCTTCGACGTCAACCACGTGTTCCACAGACACTCCAGGAACTTCGAAACATGCTCCAGCAGATATGGACATATATCCCACAGGACTTTGTGCGACGCCTGGTTCATTCTATGAGACGAAGATGTGTTGATTGCATTGCAACCAGAGGTGGACACACACGCTATTAATTTGTAAATTGACATTTTGGCATGTTCATGGTTTTTTTAATGAAATCACGCATTTTTTGAAGTCAGTATGCCAAATTAAACCGTTTAAACACTTACAGGAGTCTTTTATCTGTTGCAAACCGAAATTGTTTCAGATTTGGTAAAAAAACATAACTTTGCATTAAATCTTATTCAATGTCACAGGAACTTTTGTTGTTCAGTATAGTATCTAACGAGAATGAGTGTAGGATTCTCTATTGACGACCTACGATATGGCAGGGAATTTCTTCTTTGTTGTTGCAAACCCCCTAGGACGTCATACTATTTGGCTGGGACATCCCTCTGTTGTTACACTCACAGTGATGTCATACGAAATGTCGGGTACATATTCGCTCTGTTGTTGCAAACGCAATGACGTCATACGATATTGCGGGGACACTCACGGTAACGTCATACACAGATACACACACAAAGACACAGACACACATACACACATATACATACATGCACATTTTGACACAAAGACATACATACACATACACACACGCATATACATATCCACACAGAAACGCACCCATACAGACACACCACGCACGCACACATACACACATATACATACATACATGCACATTTTGACACATAGACATACATACACATACACACACGCATATACATACCCACATAGAAGCGCACACATACAGACACATCACACACACATATACACACATACATACGCACGCACAGACACAAATACACACGCACGCACACATACACATACACGCATACGTACATGTACACACACACGCACGCACGCAAACACACACACACACATGCAACATGGTGGCACACACATACAGACACATCACACATACATACGCACGCACACATACACATACACGCATAGGTACATATGCACACGCACGCACGCGCGCACGAATACCCACACACATACACATGCAACATGGTGGCACACACATACAGGCACATCACACACATACACACATAGACATACACGCATACGTACATGTACACACACACGCTCACGCACGCACGAACACACACACACACGCTCACGCACATACACACACACGCTCACGCACATACACACACACACACACGCTCACGCACGCACGAACACACACACACACACACACGCTCACGCACGCACGAACACACACACACGCTCACGCACGCACGCACGAACACACACACACTCACACGCTCACGCACATACACACACACACACACGCTCACGAACACACACACACACACACGCTCACGCACGCACGAACACACACACACACGCTCACGCACATACACACACACGCTCACGCACATACACACACACACACACACACGCTCACGCACGCACGAACACACACACACACACACGCTCACGCACGCACGAACACACACACACGCTCACGCACGCACGCACGAACACACACACACTCACACGCTCACGCACATACACACACACACACACGCACGCACGAACACACACACACACACACACACGCTCACGCACGCACGAACACACACACACACACACGCTCACGCACGCACGCACGAACACACACACACTCACACGCTCACGCACATACACACACACACACACATACACCCACACACACGCTCACGCACGCACGAACACACACACACACACGCGCTCACGCACACACACACACACACATGCAACAGGTGGGCACACACATACAGACACATCACACATACATACGCACGCACACATACACATACACGCATAGGTACATATGCACACGCACGCACGCGCGCACGAATACACACACACATACACATGCAACATGGTGGC